CGAGAGAAAGTTTTTCTTACAAAACCTTTCATTATTGAATCATGGGCTACATGCATGTACATATGTAATCGAACTATATAAAAGCTTAAATAACTTATGCTGTATACTAATTTACTTACATATAACATTTAATGGCAAACCTCCCCTTCAGCATTGTAACAAAAAATCGCTTGTAACGCAAGCTTTTATGCTATTATAAAAAAAAACGTGAAATTGAAACTAATGAACTAAAATAATATAAAATAATGATAAATAAAGTTAATTAAATTTCTTTGGGCTTCTTTTTAATAGAGTCTTAACAGGCTAACCTAATATTCGCGGCTTGCGTTGTGGTACGCACGCCGTCGAATTTGTTTTTTTGCGTCACACGAAATTGGCGTGCGTTTTCATTTGATTTCATTGAGGGAAACGTAAAATGAAAATGTCACGCAAAGCAGAAATTTTCACTTGAGTTAGCTTCATACGCACGCCGTTCAATTTCGGTTGGTCCCATAAAAGTTGCCCAAAAAAATGCCCACGTTGCAAACAAAGAAACTACTTACGGATATATTTCTGCCACTTGAAAATCTTCTCGTAAAATTGTATATTCCTTTATTTTTGTGATAACACCGTTTTTACAGTTTTTAAGAGAAATATTGCATATTTATAATGCTGGCACCACGGCATTGTGTATACCCTAAATATCTTCAACTTCAAACTTCGCAAAATGGTAAGCCTATCAATAGAATAATTCGCTCACAAAGTTTCACCGTTAGTTTCAAATATTTAATATATGATCTTGCGAAATGTTTATTTTACAATTAAAAAGAGAAAAACCATGTTGGTTTTGATGTAACAGCATACAAATTCCCCAAAGAGTTTTTGGGGTGTGTTGCTGGAGTGACAGTCCTTGGCCAGATATGAATCTGGGTCGTTCCGGTTACGTAGACCCGACTGTTGAGGAAACGTTTTTTTAAGCAATGCTGGCGTTAATGGTATTATGAATAAATGTAAATTAAAAATTAGACGTAAAATGTATGCCAGTCATATTTTTTAGGTAATATTGCGATTAGTGTTATATATAGTATAAATAAATGTCTAGAATACTCTAAAAAACATGTTCAAAATAAATAGTTAGATAAAGAAGTATGAGTATGTATTACTCATTTGAAGTACCTGCGATTATTTTCCGGCGGCAGAACACTCCAGTCCGGTTCGTAATATGGATACATGTTGCCCGACTGCAGTAAATTATTCAATTTAATTTCTTAATTTAAATTCGTGCAAATTTTTTAGAATTTATTATATCTTTATTTATTGGACACATATACATACATACATATTTATTTGTTTTTTTTT